TAAATTTATATATAGTTATATTAAATACATGTTTATATATTGGCTTATCAACTGAGGCTCAAGTACACTTGCATATACCCATATACATGGAAAAATGCAGAAAAAATGATGTGGCTGAGAGGTAAGTGCAAATGTAATTCTACGACAATGGTTTAATAAACAATGTTTGCTGGTGCATAACTCGAAAACCTACAATGTTACCGTTCAAATTGTTCAAGCAGTTTATGAATAAGTATTGCTCATTATGTATGGACTCGTCGTGACATACCTGCTTCGTCCAGCTGGAGGAAGGCAAGTGCTGCATGGTGGCCGGAAACCAGCGACCAGTAAACTACAGCTCCAGCTTCAGTATCCATCACCAACCGCAAGCCATCCAGTCCCAGCTCGGCCCTATACCCACAGTCACTGACCAGGGACTCACCGGTAAATAGGACCATCCCCGCATCCAATATGCGGCCTATCTGTCTGGGAGGGGTCGCTTGCCGTCTGACTAGAATAGGGTCATGTAAGGGGTCCAATGTTTGTACATCGTCACGAACGCTTAGAGTGAGGGCTGGATATTCACAGGCAATTGGCTCGTTCTCGATGTTGAATGAATTGGCATTATTATCTAAACCATTAAGCGAAACAGCGCTAACATAACCGCCCGTGCAGTCGACGAATGCCAAGAGTGCTGCAGTTAGCAAAAGAAGTTTGCATGGTAATTGACTCATTAATTGCGCACAGCACATTTGTGAGCTAGTTTATATACATAGTATGTATTTATGTATGTATGTATGTATGTATGTATGTATATAAGTATGTATGTATGTATATGTGTATGTATGTATGTATGTGTGTGTGTGTGTGTGTATGTATGTATATATGTATGTATGTATGTATGGATGTATGTTTATATGTATGTATGTGTGATGGATGTATGTATGTATGTATGTATGTATGTATGTATGTATGTATGTATGTATGTATGTATGTATGTATGTATGTATGTATGTATGTTTGTATGAATGTATGTATGTATGTATGTATGTATGTATGTATGTATGTTTGATGTTAAATGTATATATTATATATATATATGTATATACTAATACTTATCCATACACTACAGTGGGGTATTGTGGTCTCATCATTCGGTGGATTTTGCATATATTATAAACTCTTGGAAATTAGAAGTCATGATACATAAACTAAAAATCAGATGCGAGGTGGCTGGTGCCTGGTGAGTGGTGACAGTGGATAGCTATATCCATGAGGTAGGTCAAAAGAAGCTATAAAAAAATGAAGTTCAGCTGCACTCTGTAGACTACCATAGCTGAGGGTCTGACGCCTGATGAGACTGGAGAGTGAGCCGTGAGCCCCTGGCCGTCTGGGACTCTGAGTCTTCTGCCAGTTCTGCCTGATGGGGACTTTCGGGAGTCCTGAACCCGGCCCTCCGAGTCTAAGAATCCTCTCTGTCCTGTGGTGCTAATTCTATTTTTTTTAAATTTAAATTACCTGTTTTGTGACTTGTGTAATCAGCTATGTGTAGTTCGTAAAAAAAGCCACCAGAGTAACTATAGCATTTTTTAACCTTCAATCAGTTCTCTGATTCTAACTTTCTTTGATTGGATATGACACCGAAAATTTGCAGTACTTCCCATGATAGCGTTTGTTTTACGAGCTCTTTTCAATTTTGATTGGCCGTACGACAAAATCTTCATTCAAGTCCTTGTTATGTAGTAAATATTTACCGCTCGAGAGTCGAGCCTCGAGCCTCGAGGTCCTAGACCACGCCAGCCGCCAGGCCGCCACGGACCACACTCACATATACATTGGTTGTACTCAGTATGTACTCCGTACTCTGTGTAGGGTTTAGACAATTAGGGTTTAGGGTTTCTGTCGATATGCATGATGTAAAAACTAAAAAAGGATCAATCAAATAAAAAGGGATATTTGGCCCTTGGCCCTTGGCCTTTGGGTAATTTTTACCACAGAGTCTGTGCTCTCAATGACTCATTTTTAAGAGTCCACGTATTTTTATTTTTTTGGGGTGTTAAATTTTTGTCTTTTGTTTTTGATCTTTTTTTTTGTTTGAGTACACGCGCTGACGCGCGTAAAAGAAGTCCACAGAGAGTCAGAGAGACAGAGACACAGAGACACAGAGACAGAGACACAGAGACAGAGACACAGTCCACAAGGACCACAAGTACACAACTGTCCACACAACTCATCATGGCCTCATCTCCAGTTCTCCACAGTTGATAGCTATATATTGAGTCACTGAGTCAGGGACTCAGTGTCCACTGTCCAGGCACCAGACTCAGAGTGTCCAGGCACCACTCACGAGTCGGTCACGACAACACGCTGACCACAGGCCACACCATTGACATCAGTGACCAGTCATGTAAATACACTGTTCACAACTTCACACTTCCAGTCTTGACGCTTCAGACTTTTCGACAAGAGAAGAGTTCTTCACAGATGCTCCTCCCTCCCATACGCCTTAGCCCTCTAAATTGGCAGAGAGCTATGAAGGTATGTATATTGATCTGATTTGGCAGAAGCATATATTTTATAGTTTAGGACTTTTTCAAATAGGCTATTAAATCACCCATTGTATTTAATGCTATGCACCCACCGGGCCACCATAGCCTCCTAAAAAAATGACGATTGCAGGAGGCTACTCAAGCCTCAAGGCATTCTAGAATAGTTAAATGCATAGGTCATGCCACTATTTAAAAAAATGCAAAAGAGGTTGTCGGCTGATCCTCTCGTATGCTCTCGTATGCTGATGCTGATGCTGATTTAAAAGCGTATCTTCCGACTCTTCTCCCTCTCAGTCACAGTTGAGTCAGTATGTATGTAGATTTCAAGAATCAAAACGTTTCACACACGCATTGACATATGTGAGGAGTACAATAGCGGACTTATTTTCTATTGAAGGGATTTCATTCTGAATGTAACTATTACTTCGAGAGGTTTTTGAGATAATGCGAAGGTGAAGTTCCGCGAGAGTTGAGAATTCATGACAGCAGGGTCTAATAGAACATGTACCCAAAACCACCGATTCTGTATCGCTGGCATCAATCCGTCGCTTCGCATGTGGGTGCTATCGATACATCGATTGTTACGACAAAAAAATATATACCTCTCACCGTCGCGTCTCGGCAAATAATTATGAGTCTATCACAGCTGATATGGACGCAAGAAAACATTAAATGGGGAAAAAATCTGAAACGGGCTGCTTAAATAGACATTCATGCAGGTTCTGCACTATGCACTTGGACCACTTTGGATGGATTTGACCCCTCAAGGTCTGAATTGGGCCGTACAACGGATCCAATTCCCGACTGTTCTATATCTAAAGTACATAAGCAGAAGAGGTGTAATATCGCAGTATTAATATGAGGGTTGAATTTGTTTTCAGGATTCCGCCAGTGCACTTTAGGTCGCAATACTTATGTGTTTCCTACCAAACGAGCAGTGTGCAAACCACATCAAAGTATTTGAAACTATTTGGCAGTACTTAGCGGGCGGGTGACGGAAAACAAGATGAACACAATTCAAAACTTGCCAAAAATCGAGTTATTCAATTGTTGGACATTATTATCTGCGTTCCATCTGTGAAACAACATTTATTCCGAAGTATAAGGGGCCGGAGCAAAGCGCATGCCACTTTTTTCACAGCCATTGCGTACATCCGAACACGTACTAAATACACTAAAACGCAATGCTGGTATCCACTTCCAGCGGATAAATAGACACCATGCTGAGTACTGAGTGCAACCAATCCTGCTATCGTCTCACATCCACAGCTTCAGCTCCAATTAAAAGCGCGTCTGGGCATACAGCCGAACAGGCAATAGCACGTACAGTCTGTTCATCCTGATGTATCTATACGCCCAAGTTAAGAGGTACGACGCTAGGTAGCATACCACTACTTCACTTCCGACTTGATGTACATGCGGGCACTGGATGATATATAAACATATCTATGTCACATGTCAAGTCAAAGCTGCAGTGTCGTAGGCATCTTTGTTGCACTCGTTTGTAGGCGTACACTGCTTACAATCAGAGTCACATTCTCCGTCGCCAACCCGACACTATTACGTACGGTGTGGGAACACGCAGAATATTTCTTCATCTGATCACTCGCAGCTCTTGAGTGCAATGATAGCGAACAATATGCCTACCAATTAGCGCCCCTGAGGCAACCATATAATACGGTAACCCAAGTCTGCAGCCCTCAAACAGTCTGGCCTCGCAAATAAGCGGAATGAAGTGCGCGCCCATGAGCTGTACGCATATATGCGTATATGATGTTTAGGTACTCGTGTGTGTGTGTGAAGCTTTCGGCGGTGACGCTGATGACAGTCCAAAGTTCTCAGGCGATAGGTTTTGGTGAGTCTCTGCTATGAGGAGTGTACATATTGCACGTGATTTTTACTTTCATCATTGCTATTCCTAATTTCTTCCTTGCGGTGGGGGTCCTCTCCAGCCCGGAGGTGCACCTACATACAAACCAACAACAAAAAAATGAAACCATTTGTGAGAAAGTGGCTCTGACGATTCTAAATTCCGTATGTCGTTTCAAATGCCACAAGGGACCAACAAGGCAATGCTGTCAACTGGCATATCATCTCATCCGCTTGAAGGACGAAAGTGTGTTGTGTGCGCCACATAGCTGCTGTAGTCCGTAGCTATACAGAGTGTCGAAGAAGCAGCTAAGAATCATCAAGGCATAAACTAATCACCAACCTACCTTGTGGTGGAAACATCTGCCGTTGTTGGTTCTGCTGAGGAGGGCCTCTGGGACCCCATGGACCTCTTACGCCACCCTGGAATAAAATTAGATCAGATAAGTCGCATGTAGAAGGGCAAGTCTTAAGAGAGAAAATGCACTTTGACAACAGAAGCAGCTGATAAACTGAGCCCTAGAACAGTGTCAGATCACACGTGTCACATACAGGAGAGCGTTGGTGATATATA